ATTTGTTTTTGTTTTTTTAGTTACCTTTTTTTTTTTTAGTTTTGTTGGCAGGAATGGGCTTCCATAACATGCAGACCTGCCAGAAGTGAAAGAGCAAAGAAGGACCTTTAGGACTGGAAATGTGTGGAGCATATGATGATGCTTACAGCATGTCTGTCAATCTGAATTTCCGGCCTTAAATTGTACTGCACAGAAACCTTCTTAATAGTTAACGTTGCACCCAAACACATGTGACATAGAACTAACAATATAATTTCCAGTAAATTCATAAACCGCGTTAATTACATAATAAATGGCTTTTGTCGGGTAAATAGTAGGGTATTTAAAATTTATTTTGAATGGATAATTTTGGTACTATGGACCCCATAAGTCTATACGTCCACACTCCCTCCTTCAGCAGACAGCCGGGGACGACTCAATAAAATACTCGATTCCTACACGTTCACCAGCTCAGATGTACCATCAACCCAGAACGACAGTGACAACTTAGAGATCTACGTTTGCGCAGTTACCCCTCCGCGCAGTTTACGACGCTCTCCAACGTCTGTGTTATGAGACGTATTCTGTAAGGTATCTTTTGTCAACGTTTGTTTTCCAGCAGGGGTTACACAAGCTGTCCACGAGCAGTGGAGTGGGGACACCAACAACTTCACTTCGGCGGATTAAGAATAAAGAAGAAGCGTCTAGTGAGCGTACACTAGCTGAAACATTATGTTTCCAGCTAGCAGATATTCAAGTAAAAGTACGTCAGCTCCTTAGATAGCATATTGCAAGCACTGCATGTACTAGACTTGATAAAGCTAACCTTACTAACTTTATTACCGACAGTGTAGTCGTCGTAACATATATTTTTGTTATTTGTGCGCGTTGTTTTAAGGCTTTTCCACAGTTGCATGCGTTATCATTAGCCAAACAGTATAGCATGCCTGTTTATGTTAGCATCAAAGCTAACATGTAGGTGAAAGTTGAACCAACATATAACAGTTAGTTAGGTCACCTAAACAACGTCCTTGTCCTTGGTTTATGCTACATGTACAATGTACGCGTGTTGGGAAATGTACTGGTGTTGTTAAGTTGTAATTATAGTGAATGTTGAAGTGTTTTCCTTTCTGAGAAGGATGTTTAGTCGCAGCCTTGCACTTTGAATTTAGCTTAGCTGTGGTCACACAACTCTAGCTAGCTAGCATGGTGCTAACCGCTGCAACTTATTATGACAGCTGCTTGGCATTGTCACTACACTAGCTACGTACTTGTATAGCTTTCGTTGAGGTCTTGTGTTTTTAGAAGCACCCTTGGTGCATTGTGGCACATGCAAAAACGTGTAATGCTTGTATTTATGTCATTATTTCAATGTATGTTATTTGTGTTTTGTCAGATCAGGCTAAACTAAACCAGTGAGCACACTGTCTAGATAGTGTGCCCACCAGTTCCAGCTGGTCTTGACTGTGAATCTGTTCTCTCCCTTGCAGCCCACAGGTGCATCAGGGCATTGAAGACAGCTCAGATAGAGCATGCTGCCCCTCAGCTCTACACAACACTAAACAGAAGGGCATGCTCTTCAGTGTCAACACCCCGCATCACAACACACTACACCATCCATTCTCGGGATAAAGATTCAAGATGGGAAGGTAAGACACTGCACTATATAAAGTTACTCTTTAGATAGAATTATACGTTACCTGCAAGGACCCACACTCAAGATGGTTTCTGGCCATTTTTAAAATCTAGGCTACCCTTGAGAGGACTGATCTTTTTGTAGCTCGATCTGCATTGTGTCATGTCAACACAGGCTTTCAATCAGTGACTCTTTCGTTCCTCAATATTGTCTTTCTTATGGCCCTGTCCCAGGCATCGAAATGGAGAGGTTTGCCGACGAGGCAGATGTGGTGATAGTAGGTGGGGGCCCTGCCGGTCTTTCGGCAGCCATTCGTTTGAAGCAGCTAGCCAATGAACATGAGAAGGATCTGCGAGTGTGCCTTGTGGAGAAGGCCTCTCAGATTGGAGCACACACACTGTCGGGAGCCTGTCTGGAGCCCAGTGCCCTCAACGAACTCTTTCCTGATTGGAAGGAACGAGGGGTGAGTGACTTATTCAATATTTCTCTGTGAGCTTGGTCTATAGATTGGTAAAGATGCCCTACCTTTATACCATAAGAGATGTTTACATCAGGGCTCCATGTTGTTGTTGCTACACGTACGTTACACACTGGAATAGGGCTGCAACTAAGTTGTCTCATCTATACAATATCAAAAAATTATGAAAAGTATCAATCAATGTTTCCCAAAGCCCAAGATGATTTCCTCAGAAGTTTTTTTTTTTTTGTCCACAACTCGAAAGAGACAAATGTTTTCTTTTCATAGAGGAGTAAAGAAACTAAGAAATTTAAATTAATTTTGACTTTTTTTCAAACCGATCATCAAAAAAGTTGCTTATTAATTTAATAGTTAACAACTAATCAATTAATTGATTCATTGTTGCAGCTCTACACCGGAATAAAGTAGATTTATTCATCAACATTCATCATATGAACATGCATGTAGTTATACACACAAATCCACATGAAGTCAAAATCTCAACAACACACATTGTGCTCTTACCTCAGGCACCTTTGAACACACCAGTGACTGAAGATGTGTTCAGCATTTTAACGAAGAAACACAGAATCCCTGTCCCCATTTTGCCAGGTAAAAGCCGTTTTATTCTATTTCAATACAAAAGAAATCTCTCTTTGTATTCCACACCATTGTTCTGACGAGGGCACACGCGTCAACAGGGTGTGGTGTTGATACAAGACATCA